AATTTGACAATTAAAACAAAAGCACCCAATCATTTTCCAATACATCATTCTGACTCTTCACTCCCAATCTGGCTAAGTGACTTTATTCATATGAAAAACTATATACATACTGTAAATTCCAAAGCATGCAATTTTCAGTAAAGTGATCTTTATTCAATCTTATAACATAAGCATAAAAATATGTTATTGTGCACATTAAAAATTTTAAATAATAATAGTAAATACTGTAGTGGGAACAATTGATTTTATTAAATGTATCATTGAACATATATCTACTTTATTATAAATGATTTGCATGGCATAGTAAGGATTTTACCTTGTTCACATTGTTATGCATATTAACAATTTTAAATAACGATAATAAATGCTGCAATGGCAACACAGATTCCTTAATTTTACATTGAGTCCTTTAATGAGTCTGATTATCTTTGTCTTTGTTTATGTCTCGGGTTGGGTGAGATCATGCACCTCTCTTTCCTGGTTATAAAGGCAAAAGGTTAATTTTATTAGATGTATCATTCTAAAAATAACATTATGTCAATGCAGCAAAAAAATAAAATATTCTGAGAACATAAAAAGAACAATGAATAAAATATACACAACTTAAGAATGCATATTTATCTGAAATCTGAATAACTCAAGCATAAAGGTGGCTTTGATATCACATGCAAGAAATAAATTGCACAGACTTAGCCATGTTATTCAAGATAAATTAAGAATTGGTAGTAATTAATCCCTACAATACCAACGAGCCTTCTAGTCAATACTCACTTTATAATCCATTTATTTGTTGAAAATAAAACACAAGACTTTCCTTTTATGAGAGAAAAACTTGCAAGAAACTTTTTACTAGTTGGTTGAGGACCTTTGATATCTTATCATAGAGAATCAAGTGCAGAACCAGCACCCGATGAGAGGGCGCGACCACGCGTGCTGGCTCCACCGGAATCTTTAGAACTACTGGGTAGCAATCGCCAATCAATTGCAGAAGCACCGAAGTCTCTAGAGAAGGAAAAAGAAGAGAGAAAAGTCCCTTTTTTTGTTTGGGCTTTAATTAAGTTGCGAATTATGGGCCTCTTATTGTTAGCCCAATTGTCAAATAAAATTGACAAATTATCCAATTTATCAAAGTCCAAGTAGCCAAGACCCAAGAATCTAAAATGCTAAAATCAATTCCCATATTGTGGAAGTGGAAGCCAAATTGTAAAACCCTTTTCTAGTTTCCTCACTTCTTCCTTCGCCCCTGTGATAAGTGTGTTTTTACACACTTATTTAATTCACAAACATGACTTACTATAAACAAAGTGATTGAATTGTGGCATAATTTTGTTGTATTTGTGTATTATAGGGAATATTTATGGATATGGAGAAATACACAAGAAAAGACTCGAAAAGGACCAAAATGAAGGAAAAGAAGGTTCAGGGACCAAGATGCAAATTACCAAAAGATGATCGGGAAGCATAAACAAGGAAGTGAAAGAGTTAAAAGATCAATTTGGCGATAACATAGAGTACTGGAAGAAGAAGAAATGAAAAGAAAGGTTAAAAATGAGAAATTAGAGTTCAAGGACTAAATTGCAACTTTTGAAAAGTTTTTAATACTATGCAGTTGCATAGTATAAAAGTCCATGCAGTCGCATACCTATGTTCAGAGATTTTTAGGACCAAAATCAATTGAACTATGCGGTCGCATAGTACCAATTCGGTGGGAAAAATCTAGTTTCCTTATTTGATTAAAATTCTTATGGAAACAACTTGGGGAAACCTATATAAAAACCCTAGAGCCGTAGATTTTGAGAGAGAACGCATTGGGAAGAAAAGAAACACCTCTTGGAGTGAATTTGAAGCCACAACAACGAAGGATTTCACGGAGATCAAAGTAATTTCACTTCATTTATTGATCTGGTGATGATAATTCTTCCAAATATCATGTATTTTGTTACTTTCTCCATGTTAAGCTAGAAAAATCTATACTAGAAGATCGATGAACCTTGTAATGTGATATTTAATTCTTTGTTCCGTATTGTTGACATTAAAACATGTATTGATTATTTTGAATGATTTATATGCATTTAATTACTTTCATGATTATGGGCCCATAGTTGTGTGAGTTTTGGTGGTTTTTTCATCTATTCGAAAGAAGAGGAATAAATTCGACAAGGTATAAATCATAGTAGTATCTGATAAGAAATAGAAATATACATCTAAGCTTTGCATGAATCTCTAAGTCCTCACAAAACTACATGCATTCTCGTATATTTGTATCCATCATAGAGATATAGGCTGGCAGTGTATAAGAATATGTTCAATTCATCTCGAGAGAAAGTGCTCGATAGATTTAGGAGTATTGATTCTTCAAAATTTTACCGTGTTGTCAAAGTGTGGAATTAAGGTTAAATTGAACATTACTTGGGAACTCATGATCCTAGTATATCTAACATTCATTGAATACATTTAACTTGTGCCTCAAATATCAAATTGCATTCTAGTTAATTTAAACGTTATTTTGCATATCATACCATCCAATTCATAATATTGGTACTTTAGCTTAGATTTAGAATTTCTTAGGATAAAAACTCATAATTGATCATTTAGATTCAGTTAAGGCCGAAATAAATACATGTGAACTACTCAAACTCTGTGGGACGATATTCAAACTCTAAAAATCCACTTTATTACTTGTTAACGAACCGTATACTTCTAGTGATTTAAATCGAAAGAAAAAATTTCGTGAATAAGTTTTTGGCGCCGTTGCCGGGGATTAAGTTTAGTTTAATTTTATTTTTTTAGGCACTAATTTGAACTTTAGATCTTTATTGTTATTTATTTTTTGTTTAGGTCATTTTGTTTTATCTTTGTTATAGTTCTTTAAATTGTTTGAATCTAAGTGCTAGTACTATTTTTCTCGCAGAACTGTATGTCAACATCGACATGAGGAGAATTAATTCCAGCAGACCAAGAAATTGAGTGGACTTTTCACCGTTTGCAACAAGAGAACAAAGGAGCACATCATCAACAACAAGAACAAATGGCAAATGTGCAAAACAATCCCATCTTTCGAGCCAATGAAGGAGAGGCGATGGATGAAGAAAACGAGATTTTGGGAGATTTCTTGACTCTTCAAGTAATTCAAAGCCAGTCCAGCATAGTGTATCCACTGTTTGGGCAACCTAACTTTCAGTTGAAGACCAATATGATACAGCTGTTCCAGAATGGACACCAATTTTATGGAAGACCCGAAGAAAATCCACATACACACATATCTCGATTCTTGAATATGTGTCAACACTTCAGGTATCAAGAAATTTCGGATGATGCTATTAGGCTAAGGTTGTTTCCACATACACTACGGGATAGGGCACTAGAATGGTTGGATTCACTTTCTGCTTTGAGCATTACTCTTGGAACGAGCTGCCTCATAAATTCTGCAGGAAGTTCTTCTCGCCAGCCAAGATAGTGAAATTGAGACATGATAGATATGATCCGAAAATGCCGTCAACATGGGTTTGACAAAAAGACCCAAATTCGATTCTTCTATACAGGGCTACTTCCGTACCACAAAAGCATGGTGGACGCAGCATCAGATGGCTCAATATCTACATGAACAGTTGATGGGGCACTAGAATTATTCGAGAGAATGGCTACCACTTTAACCATGTGGTCTTCTAAGAGGGTAAACCTAAGGAAGACTCCAAGTGTCTATGAGATAGATACTTATTCAGCCATATCCACAAAGATCGACTCTCTGTATCACAAGATGGAAAGCATATCATAGGCAACACAAGCTAAGAAGAGCAATTGTGAGGAATGTAAAGCCAAGCATAAAACAATAGAGTGCCCAATCTTAATACTAGTGAGTAGGTAGACTATACACCATGGTGACAGCGACAACAGAACAATTCATATAAAAAATATACAATCCCAGTTGGAAGAAGCATCCAACTTCTCTTGGAGCAATCAGAATTAGAATAGGCCACATAGATAGTTTCAACAGCAAGAGAAGAGGCCTCAATTGGACAAGATATTAGAGAAATTCATGGAAAAAGTCGAAGCCACTCTTCAAAACCAAAATGCCGCCATCAAAAATTTGGAAACTCAAGTGGGACAACTAGCCATTGCGTTGACTGGCAGAGCACCGAGTAATTTGCCAAGTAACATAGAAATTAACCCCAAAGAGCAAGCTAAAGCCATTACAACTTGACGTGGGATGCATCTACCAGAAATACATGTCAAAAGGCCGGGTATGAATGGAGAGACAGCATTTCTTACAGAGGAAAAAATAGAGGAGTCGGACGAACAACCAAAGGAATGTTTAGAGAAATCATGGGATAAGGCTAAAGTTATAGTCAACCCACACGTACCTCCAATTCCATTTCCACAGTGGTTGAAGAAGCATAAAATGGAGGAGCAATACGAGAAACTTTTAGAAGTCTTCAAACAACTCTATATCAATATCTCGCTCATCGACGCATTGTTCCAGATGCCCAGTTATGCAAAGTTTCTGAAGGACATTCTATCAAATAAACACAAGCTGGAGGACCACAAGAGAATATTGCTAACAGAGGAATGCAGCGCTAGAATTTAGAAAAAGCTCCTATCGAAATTAAAGGATCCAGGGAGTTTTACTGTTCCTTGCACTATTGGTGAAGTTTATTTTGATAAAACCTTATGTGATCTTGGTGCAAGTATAAATTTAATGCCTCTATCTGTTTTCAGAAAACTCGGCTTGGGAGAGGCTAAGGCAACTACTATGACACTACAGCTGGCTGACAAATCACTAACACATTTCAGAGGAATAATAGAAGATATACTTATAAAGGTTGAAAAATTCATATTCCCTGTGGATTTCCTCATCTTGGACATGGAAAAAGACAAGGACATCCCGTTGATACTTGGTAGACCGTTCTTAGCAATAGGGAGAGCTCTAATTGATAATCAGAGGGGGACAGTTGATCTTAAGATTGGGGAAGGGGCAGATATCATTCAATGTTTTTAAGGCCATGAAACTTTCTACAGAATCAAATAGTTGTTTTCAATTTGATGTCATTGACAAGGTGGTCCAGGAGACATTCTTTCTTAACAGCACATCCGATGCTTATGAGGCATGTATTGCATATTGCCAATTAGCCCAGTCAGATTCTTTCGAGATTGAGACATGTGCAAGGTTTTTGGAGACCAATCCACCATACACACGAAAAAAGCACTTTGAAGAACTTGGAACAGGAACTACAAAGCCACTGTCTTCCATTCAGCAGCCACCAGTATTGAGACTCAAGCAACTACCACCACATCTCAGATATGCCTATTCGGGAGAATCATGTACAACTCCCGGTGATTATTTCAAACACAGTCAATGAGGTGGAGGAAGAAAAACTGCTTATGGTACTCAGAGAAAACAAGACGGCGATTGGGTAGACGATAGCTGACATTAAAGAGATCAACCCTTCACTATGTATGCACAAGATTCTCATAGAGGAGAATTGTAAGCCAAGCATAGAGGGTTAGAGAAGACTGAATCCAAATATGAAGGAAGTGGTCAGGGCAGAGGTACTGAAATTACTAGATGCAAGCATTATCTACCCAATTTCAGAAGTGCATGGATCAGCCTAGTTCAAGTTGTGCCAAAGAAAGGGAAAATCACAGTGGTGCAAAATGAGAAGAATGAGCTAATTCCGACTAGAACAATGATATGATGGAAAGTTTGCATCAATTATTGCAAACTGAATGCAGCTACACGAATGGATCATTTTCCACTCCCGTTCATTGATCAGATGGTGGAGAGGTTGGTAGGGCATTCACACTACTATTTTCTTGATGGATACTCGGGCTAAAATTAGATACCAGTTGTACCAAATGATTAGGAGAAGACCACATTCACTTGTCCCTACAACACTTTTGCCTACCTTGGGATGTTCTTTAGTTTTTGCAACGCTCCTACCACATTCCAGAGATATCTGATGGCAATATTCTCTGATATGATTGAGAGATTCATAGAGTTGTTCATGGACGATTTCTCAGTTTTTGGTTCTTCATTGATGAATGCTTGGAGCACCTAAATTTGGTCTTACAAAGATGCAAGGAGACTAATCTAGTTTTAAATTGGGAGAAATGCCACTTTATGGTGCAGGAAAGGATTGTGCTTGGGCATCAAATCTCAGCAAAAGGAATTGAGATGGACAAAGCAAAAATTCAGGTCATTGAGAAGTTACCGCAGCCAACATCGGTAAAAGGGGTTTGTAGTTTCTTGGGACATGCCGGGTTCTACAAGAGATTTATTAAGGATTCCTCAAAAATCACTAAGCGTCTATTCAACCTGATGATGAAAGACGTCCCATTTGAATTTAATGAGGAATGCCTGACAACTTTCAATACTTTGAAGGAGAAACTCACGTCAGCACCAGCAATTATAGCACCTGATTGGGAATTGCCTTTTGAATTAATATGTGATGCCAGTGATCATGCCGTGAGTGCAGTATTAGGACAGGGAAGAAACAAGGTCTTTCATGTGATTTACTATGCAAGCAGGACGTTAAATGATGCCCAAATCAACTACACAACCATTGAAAAGGAGCTCTTGGCTGTGGTTTATGCCTTTGACAAATTCAGGTCATATCTTGTGGGGTCTAAGGTCATAGTCTACACAAATCATGCCACATTAAAATAACTAATAACAAAGAAGGATGCTAAGCCGAGATTAATCCGTTGGGTGTTACTGCTGTAAGAATTCGACATTGAAATTAGGGATAAAAAGGGCAGTAAAAATGTAGTGGCAGATCACCTATCTCGATTGAAGCCGAAAGAGATGAGCAGATGTTGAGTGTGGAAGAAGCGCCTTGGTATGCTGATATTGTCAACTATTTAGCCAAATCCATTCCACCGCCGGATTACTCAAGTCACCAGTGGAAAAAGTTCTTTGCCGAACTGAAGTATTATTTTTGGAAGATCCGATTTTCTATAGGCAAGGGACAGATCATATTGTAAGGAGGTGTATACCTGAAGAAGAAATACCCGAGATTCTTGAGTATTGCCATTTATCTGCTTATGCGGACACTTTGGAGCTTCAAAGACTGCTGCAAAGATTTTACATTCAGAATTTTACTGGCCTACATTGTTTACGGATGCCTCGTTTGTCAAGAGATGTGATAGATGTCAATGCACTGAGAATATCTCGAGAAGGAATGAAATGCCATTGAACAACATCTTGGAAGTGGAGATATTTGACGTATGGGAGATTGACTTCATGTGACCTTTTCTCCCATCATTTTCAAATCAGTATATCCTGGTAGCCATTGACTATGTGTCTAAATGGGTGGAAGCAGTTGCATTGCCAACCAACGACGCGAAGGCAGCGATTGGATTTTTGAAAAAATACATCTTCACTAGATATAGCACACTGCGGATGATAATCAATGATGGGGGCAAACACTTCTGTAATCGCCAGCTTGAACAGTTGTTGACTAAAAATGTAGTTAAGCACCATGTAGCTACCCCATATCATCTACAGACTAGCGGGCAAGTTGAAGTTTCCAATCAGCAGTTAAATAGAATAATCTTGAGGTGACAGTGAATTCATCTTGAAATGATTGGTCTAAAAAGCTGGATGACGCATTGTGGGCCTATAGAACAGCATTCAAGATACGGATAGGTATGTCTCCATACCGCCTAGTTTTTGAAAAAGTGTGCCACCTGCCACTAGAAATAGAACACCGGGCATACTGTGCTATAAAACAGTTGAACATGGATTTGAAGGCCGCCGGTGAAAAGCATTTACTACAGCTTAATGAGTTAGATGAATTCATAATGGAAGCATATGAAAACTCGAGGCTCTATAAAGAACGAACCAGGAAGTGGCATGACTTGCATATTCAGAGGCGAGAGTTTGAAGTGGGGGCAAAAAGTGCTATTGTACAAATCTAGACTCAAGCTCTTCTCGGGAAAATTAAGGTCAAGGTGTTCGGGTCCTTATACTGTCACAAAGGTTTTTCCATATGGAGCTATAGAAGTCAGCCATGAATCTAATGGTACCTTCACAGTTAATGGGCAAAGATTGAAACACTACTAGGGCAGTGACTTCTCCAAGAAAACGTCTACCGTTCAACTCGAGATTCCTAATTGAAGCAGAAGTAGAAAAGTCGAGCTATCAACTATAACCTAGCATTGGGTGGGAGGTAACCTATTGTATGCTTTCAATTTATGTTACTTTTTGCATTAGCTTAGGAAAATTTCAATTCACGTTTGCATTTTTTTTATAGTTTAGGTCATCGATCATCCATGCATGTCAAAATAGCCTAAGCACCACCCACAAGAAATCCTATGCATCGAGCATGAGTTGGGATTGATTGGAGCTGTTTTAGGTGTGAAATTCACGCATTTCGAGGCACAAAGTTGTTTTTCATAATTTTTCAGGGTTGCGGTGTATTTTCAACTCAAAGGATGGTTTTGGCACTAAGTCCATGGCCTAAACGTACTCCATATAGTCTAAAGATGTGTTTTTTGAAAAGTTTGGGGGACGTGGAAAGGCCAGATCAATTCACCAATTGAAAACAAAAAAAAATTTGGGGATATTTTGAGCTAAGTTGTGTTTTATTTTAGTAATCAACTATGTTGTTGAATTTTCATGTGCATACTAATTTACAAAAACCATTGGCATTTAAAAAAAATTATGTATATGGCATTACACGTTATCTATATGACCGCATAGACCACGGTGCAATGCGGTCGCATGCCATGGTCCAGGGCCTAAAATGGACTGGACCAAGTGCTTAATGCGACCGTATGCCATTGCTCTATACGGTTGCATAGAGCACACAATTTTTTTTTTAAAAATCAGATTTACAAAACACACATGAAACCAAAAAATCACACACAAAACACACACATCTTCCCCAAGTGCACGGCTTTCTCTCTCTTTCCTGACCCTCTCAACTCACGACCTACAACACAAGAGCCACAACTCATCACAATCAACACAATTCATAACTCACATCACATCATCATCTTGCATTCACTTTGTGGTGGTATTCATTTCTCCAAATCTCTACAATTTTGGCAAGGTAAGTTTTCTACATCATGTTCTATTAATTTCAAAATCGGGGATGTCTTGCTTTAGTTTTGGGTAATTGATGGAGATTGGGCATTTTCGCTATGCTTGTGATTGATTTGTGAAAAAAAAGGAGCTAAACTATGTAACATCAATGATTATAGTCAAGAAATTTCTATTATGAACACAAGGTGTTTGTTACAAGTCCTAAGTGACGGGTTTTGTGAAATTTTGTGAAGGTTGCAATGGAGGTAATCAACATTGATATAGTCTTGAGTATTATGATAGATGTCTTAGTAAATAAGGTAGAAAAGCATCAAACCCTCATAATGCACACATGTAGGCATGACATGACTAAGTCATGACAACTCATGTCACCCATTTGGCCATATAATTTGACACCCCAAACGATATCCAAATGACCCGAAATTCGAATATGTGCTAGAGTAAATGGAATACTTCCATATGCCTGGAGATTAATTGGGAAAATTTCGATATTTCTCGACGGTGCTCGGGGTGAAATTCCTAAGTCGATCAGGGGTCCAAATTGAACAAAATGCATAATTGAGCTAAGTTTTGTTGGTGTTTGACATTTTCATGATACAACATCGATTTTGAGACATATTTGCTACATTTTACACACCAACTTTGTACACAAGCACATTGAAGCAAGTTTGGGGAGGTTATACTTTTATATTCATTTAGTCATTCCTTCTCACCATCCATTTACACTTGGTGTTCTAATAAGCTATTACACACTTTTGTAGGATGCCGCCTAAAAGAACATCGAAGGGCAAGGAAAAAGTGGGATCTTCCTTAGGCACCGCAGGTACTAGAGAACTCAAATGGGGCATAAGGAGATTTCTCACCCGCGAGACTGCAGCCCGTTTTTTGAACATTATCCACCATTGAGCAACACTTCCAGAAAGACTCGTTAAGCTAGATGATTTTCCCGATTTTGAGATAGTCAACTTAGTTCAAATTTGTGGATGGGAAAAAGTGGTGGAATGACCTCACCCTGTCTATGAAAACTTAGTCAAGGAGTTCTATGCAAACTTCAACACCGAGATAGATACTCCTGGGATAGAACATTTGCATTAGATGTGGGTAAGGGGTAAATGGATCATGTTCTCACCAGAGATCATCCATGATTATTATCAGCTGAGTTGGAACAGTGTGGTCCCCATCCCTAGTAATTTCAATTGGAGGTAGCCAAGGTACTCATGGGAAAAGAAAATGCATGGCCACTCCCAACAGCAGATTGGCACCAGATCGAGCTCACGCCATCTATAGTCATCCTGTGGCTATTCATATATCACAATATTGAGCCCATCTCACATAGGTCAACCTTTACTAATCCGAAGGCCGGATTCATTTATCATCTGGTTTGGGAAAATAAAATTGATATGGCCACCTACATCTATAATCAAATACACACAGTTGGAACATGGGGTGATAGACATAGTTCACTGATATTTTCGAGCTTAATCAGCGACATCTACAAGGCTATAGGTGTCACTATCCCATTAGGGAAAGCACTTGAGAAACCTAGCCATTTTATCAAGCGCAATTCTGGTTGTTATAGCCTTTGCATGTTCCTTAGGGTTAACTTCAGTATTGCTGGGTAGGTTTCCCGGTGCTCTACCTGTTATA